GTCTGATCATTCTAGATATACCAAGGACTCCCCTGTGATATGATCAATCTCCGTGAAGTCAGATGATGAGAGGGGGACCTCCGTAATTCCGTCTATGACAAAATTGAGTAAAAATTAAGAAAGTAGACATTATTGACGGATACCACTCGATGTATACAACTCACCTGACAACTCACCGTTGGCTCTTAAATCCCAACAAGTGTTCGAGTACAGAACATTCAACAAGCGTTTTACTTACACATCGCACCTTTCAGTGAGAGACCGACATAAAATCTCTCGGTTGGTGAATTCGAATACCACCTTCAGGTACTGAAATAAAACCACTGTTGGGCATCGATAAACATGCCTTTGTTCTAGAACTTAGTGAGGTGTGAATATCTGGTTGATACACTAATGGCCAGTTCTGAAGCCTCCCTGAGTCCCCCAAGTTTGCTGCTCAACAGCTACACTCAAGTGGTTATAGAAACTAGAATCCTGAACACTGTTGGTCAGGTTGATTCCCCTGTGGTTATCACAAGAGGACTTCTCACCTTTCTTGATGACTCTGACAATCAGAGTTGAGACCGGTCAGAGGAGACCACATCAGTGAATGAAGGTTTTTAAGATTGTTAAGAGGATCTGAACAACAGTGTCATACAAGATAACAGTCAAAATATGAAAAGTTATGTTCTTTGTCGGCAATACTTTGTTGATATCTGTGGATTTTACATCTACTTTTTAATATGCACTCAGAATCTAAAGCACAGAAACGGTGGTTCTATACAGAAGTCATAAAGTTATTTTTGGAAGCAGGTGAAACAGATGTTTCGGTGACAACCAAATGCATATTCCAGACATATTTAGCCACTTTTTGATTTCAGTTTGTGGTGTGAATAAGTAATGGATAAATCAAACAGAAATTACCGGGGACCATCATTTGAGAAGAATGAGATAATTGAAACCTCAAATATGCTAATATCTGCAGTCTTCACATTAATGAATGTAAGATAGCAATAAAATGTTCATTAAAAATAAAATGGTTTACTGATATCCATTCCTAACTTGATGCATTGACAGGTGACTTTGAATGCATCAGGAATCGGATTTGAAAAGGTTTAAAGAGAGTAAATCCGGAACATTTGACTGACTGCCAAGGTGCTTCTCATGAGTAATTGAAGCCTTTTTCGATGGTGTTATGTTCTCTGAGCTCGACTGTTTAGTCGTAGAACTTTCGTTGTCGCTCCAAACAACATTATTAGCAAAAACTTCAGAAAGAAGTGAGCGATAAGGTTTTCTCCGCAGTTTATCTAATATATTGTCCTGATTGTTTTGTGTGATTGTTTCTGCCAAGGTCTCGTCGTTGTCTCTAAGTTTATTTTGATTGGTTGTCCTGATGACCTGGAAGTTGACTTGTTGTTTCTTACTAGTTGACAGATTGGGTCAGTGTCAATATATCTGTTGACTGCTGACTGATCTGAATATCAAGCTTCTAAAAATTCCCTGGTATTCTTTTCATTTCCTCTATCCAGGATATTAGCATTTTTCCAGTCAAATTCATGTCCACAGTTGTCATTACGCATTAATATGAGCGAAGATATATCAGTGCTAGTTGATGCTCACGTAGATGAATACGAATAGGGCAACCACTCTCTCCGATGTAGTAGCATAGCCTTTAAAAGTTGGTGCAAGTGGTCTAAATATATACTAAATTGATCTTGGTGACTAGCAGAGGAACCTAGGACGCACGTTTCGTCCTATTTGGGACATCAGCTGGACGTACCTGTACCCCCAGTGTGTGATTTCGTTTCCACTAAGGTTCGAACCCAGTATCCATAGCTCCGAAAGTCAGAGCGTTATCCACTAAGCCACTGGGGTACAGTGCTACCGAAATGTCAAGTATCTTGTCATTACATACCAATTTGTTCCCTGATTTTGATCGGCTTCTACTTAGTTTTAATACTTCCTGTCATTCTACTTGCATTTATTATACTGGAAAAAAATTCTGGTAACCAAAACAAATGGAATAATACTCCCGTTTCTTTCAGTTAATCTTCTGCAATTTTTCTTAGATTATTTATTCACTGCCAGAATTCCTGTCATAAAGCATTCAAATTCAGATTGTTTTTACCAAGTAGAATGCATCAACAATTAAAGCCGTAAAGGTTAAGTGGCAAGCAAATAGTAAATTTTTCAGTTTCTATTTCCTTCATTTTGATATCTTTCAGAAGAACTCAGTACAAGGTATCTAACCTCATTTATTCAAATCACAAAAGGTTATGACTTAATTGACTCACGTTTTACTGGTAAATATGAATAAAATGAGAATAGTTTGGTGTTCTTTGATATTCTGTCTTTAATGTTTCTTCACCAAACTTAGTGACGTCCTCAGCACTAATTTCATAAAGGAGACAAACCTATTCAGATGTTACATGAATGTCTAGGTAGTGTTTCTGCTGACATCGGGCAGCTGTATGTTAAGGAAGAGAATCCTAATACCCCTAGGCCTCTTCGATCTTAAATTTCATTCAACCATGTTCGGAGAGAATATTTATGAGTGAAATTGCTTCACTACTGATTTTTTCGGTTGATTCCCACTTTGTTGATAGACGGCTGTTTCTTCTTAAGTAGATTGTAGATTGGATATATATCGACGTGTGTCTTGATTGACCTTTCATTGAAATCCCCTGCTTCCATGAATTCTATCACAGCTTTTAAGCCTGTTCTCTGTAGAAATTCCCACTTTCTCCTAGTCGAATTTGTGATCGAATTGTCTATCGGGAATAAGACCAAGCAGGCTACATAATTTCATTTCTAATATTTCGAAATACAAATGAACTATTTTAATCCTACTCGTATTTCAAGTCACATCAAACTATTTTCTCAAGTGACTGTTGTGACAGGTGTATACGAAGTAGTGATACGTTTGAAGCAATACTTCAAGAGAAGTTCATATGTAAACTCTATTTCCTCACAAACCACTAAGGTGTGCATGAATAAGAAATTTTTCTCAACTTATCCTGTAATTCATTTCAGCAGTAATAGGGTATCAGTGTATAAATACGAATTTAAAAGAATATTTTCCCCCTTAAATAAAATTTGAGTAAATAATGACATTATTAGTCATAAAGAAATTGAACAATTTTTTTTGGAGTACTTGTATACTAACCAGCAAAAATAAGGTATTTCTTATTCTGTAAAATTAACTCCGGTGGTGTCAAGCAACAGTCTTCGATGTCACAGCTTATGAATCTCCTGCGTTGATTGAATTGAACTGATCGGTCGCTACTGGCATATGAGTTCCTCCACAGGAGCCTCACTATTGCCGGTATTTTCAACTTTGATGTTAATAATGGACAACGGCTAGCAATAGAATCGAAGATGCGCATTTTGTCCTATTTGGGAACCATCAACTGCATATACCTGCCTCCCAGTGAGCTACATTGTTCCTACCAGGACCCAAACCGAGGACAAACTGTTTCAAACGCCACAGCGTTATCCACTAGGCCACTATACTATGCCCTTCACACAAGGAGTGGCCATTGCAGCTCAGTGGCCTGGTGGATAGTGCTCTGGCGTTTGAAGCAGTTGGTTCTGGGTCCCAGTCTTAAGGGGAACAACATCACTCACTGGGAAGTAAGCATATCCAGCTAATGAGTCCGAAATAGGAACAAACGCACGTACTGGATTCCATTGCCAGCTACTATCCATCATTAGTCTCAAACAGTTCTGCATATCCGATTCAGCAACGTGAAGCTATGTATTCTGTGTAAATGAAAGATGATAAGTCAACAGGAATACCTACCGAATCTAGATTTTTTGATTTCCGAGATAAGCAGACAACATTGAGGAAATGTTTGCCTCTGAAACTTCAAAGAAAGTTCTGCCTATTTATACTTGTAACTTCCGGCTGTTGTATCGGATCGAATTGGTCGGCCTTTGTTTAGACCTTGGCTCCTATGCAGATGCCTCAATATGACATGAATATTCATTATAACAAGACATGTAAGGAAACCATTTTGTTTTGCAATCAAAACTCCTCAGGCTTCACTTTAGTATTCATAGATTAAAAAGTGTATGTAAAATATGAACTAATCAAAGTTACTTGTAATACATTGGTTCATTCCACAGTGCACAAACGTTCTCATTGAAATGTTTGACCTACTTTGTCTGAACATCTGTTTACATTGTCGTCTCATTCCGAACATGTCTGTTATCCCTTAAACTAATCTTATTATTCTAGAAAGAATGCACATTCCACATCCTTGTTATCGTTAACTCACAAATTACTTTCAGTGGTTCATTTCTTGCATACACGTTGTTAGCTATGAATATTAGAGTGAAGCCTGAGGAGTTTTGATTGCAAACAAAATGGTTTTCTTACATATCTTATTATAATTCTCATAATGGTAATTTTCAACAATTTTACATATTCATTATGCTGTGATTCATCGTTGATGCATTCATTTGGCGAGTCCCAAATAAGACGAAACGCTCATCCTGAATTCTAGTTGTGGCCCCACCCACAGTTCTGTTTGGTTGAATTCAGAAACTCTACAATTCCAACCATTCGGTCAGAAAGAACTCTTACAGAAGTCTGTTATGCACACCAATCGATCACAGTATAGAATGATTTGTGCCAAATTGTGTGAAACCGATAAATCATTTGGCATTCTGGCTGCACTCATCAGTAGAAACCAAGAAAAGATACTGGGCACTAGGTAGTGAAAAAACTCATTTGTATTTAGGATGATTTTTAATTTCGGCTTACTTCACCATAGTTAGAAAGTTGAATGCTGATCAAAATATTAGCTAACAATGTCATATGGATAGCATAAGGTAAATTTTGGGTGATAACAGTATTAGCTTATTTCGAAAAAGCATAAATTAAGAATATATATCTACGATTCCCTAATTTTAAGTGGCTTTTTGGTGTGCAACAGTTTTTAGCAGAAATTAGTCTGGCATTTCCGAGAAAATTCCTAATTTCTCTTTTCTTTATATAAAAAATGTCACAATTTCAGAACTAGTTTGAGAACCATGTCACCCGAAAAACAGATCAATCAAATGAAAGCTTTGGAGAAAGAAAGAAACGCGAATCGTGGGAAACCATCAGAAAGAGATATGGAAGTAAGATAGCGACATTAAAATTTATGAAAAATGCGCATATATATATATATATAGTTTTCAAAACTAGCTATAAATCCAAATAAGTAAGTGAAGGTCCGTACAGCAGACCGTGAGTTGCATCCACTACGTTTATGTACTGGCTATATTATCTAATTGCTTAAACCTCGGCATATCAGTCGTTGTTGGAACTTGTAATTTGTTAACTGGGATTCTACTGTTGGAAATATTGGGATACAAGTATTAAAAATGGTTCACATGAAGAAATATTATAAAGTATACTACCAAACTTTGTTATACTTTCGAACACCTGCCCAACATTTAATCTCAACTGTATTGTGTCTTATATTAATAACTTTCAGTCCTAACAGTCAACACGTCAGTATCATCATACTAAGTTATGAGCTAATGGATGATATTTTCTATTCTCAACAGATCTGTTATACAGTCCTTTTTTAAATGTCACCAATTAGCTTTCTTCTTCAGCATTACTGTAGTTAATCTTACAAACTAACTATTTCTGTATCACTTCTAGCGGTTATTCAAGAGATACGGTAATTCCTGATACCTAATTATAGTACGATAATTGCTTAGTTGAAATACGTAAATGATTATAAAAATGTTATTTTTTCAGTTAGGCGTGGACAATAATACAAAAATACTTCTTTGCACATAGAAATTTAAAACCAGCAACGAAAGTATGGAAAATGAGATAGTGAAAACTAAGATCCCCACCTACTTTTTTTACCTGTCTTGACACTTCAAAAGATCTTTTCACCTTTATATTTCACAACATATGTGTATCCCCTTGTATTGCATCATGGTATTTATAATCAAGTATTTCGAATAACTTGCGGAGTTCTACTGAAATGTTATGAATTCATTAGATTCTACTTTAAGTGATTTTGTTACTTGTTCATTAAGACAATAATAAATCACCCTCAGTATCCGGCATGTTGCAAAGCTTGCTTTATGTGGCAGGCATTTTATATTGAAAATATAACAATAAATGAAGAGAAAAATTAAATTAATCATTTCACATACTGTTTGAACGGAGTAGTTTCCATTAATGTCAGTGATACTAAAATAAATCTTTCATGACAAATCCCTGATACCTGCAGTGTAATAGATCTATGTTAATGACATTTTCTGGAACCTTCTGTAGAATATGGTAAACATATGTGCACAAATATTAAACTGAAATTAATAAACTTCAAATCTGGATATATTTGCTGAAAGTGATGATACATTTGTCAATGGTGATGAAAAAGTCAACCTAAATAACCTCTCACCTTAGTTATTAGACAGTCAACTTTGACGTACACTTGTTGAATTTATTGGCATCCACGACTTTCACTCATTACTTATTTCTTACCAAGTGCAATGGATCTTACCTAGCAATGAATCTTTCAAATGGTTCATCCACAAAAAACCAACTTGTTAGCGGATGACTTAGTAGTTTTCGTAGTTGAAAGAAATCTTGTCCACTCTATCTAAAATCAAATTTGGGATATTTATAGTAGAGAATTTAGAGAAACCGAATTGTTCTTTTTTAAAGCAGCTTTTGGTAAAATTTGCTTATACAACCGTTCTCTTGATAAACTCTTGCGAGCAGTACAAACAAGACTAGTCATATATATATATAGGTTGAAGGAGTAGATCTGGCAGATTACATAATGTTATAAACGAGCTACATTGATCGAAGCCACTATGAGCATGTATATGACAGTATGTTTTGGTATGAATTTCCAAACATAGAAGGAATATAAGCAATGATTTCTAAGGTGTTCGTCAAAAACCACTAAAATTTCATTAGATCATCAGACATTCTATCTATTAATGAACTGAAGTTTCATGTTTGTGCTTTGTCTTTACTATATTGATAGTGAACTCAGTTGATTTTAATGATCCCTGGTGTTTATGATGTTTGCCTTTTTTTATTTCAAATACCCAATCCATTGTATAAGATTATTTATTCACGAAACTAACTATAAGTTTTTCCCCGCAAATATCACTTCTATGCAGAGATATCATTATTATATAAGTAAGGGCATACCAGATCACATGCTTGCTCCACTGCCTATTGGATTGTGGGAAAGATTACACAAGTATTTACCATCACGTTTAACATCAGTCTGGCCGACAGTTGTCATCGAGCTACAACAACAAATACATGAAGATTATGAATATGCACTCAGAAAATCTATAGGTAAGTGTGTATATACAGCCATAGTTTTCGATTTAGAAAGTTAACGGGGAAATAAAAATATAAATTCACTTTATTCCAAGTATCCTCGTCATATGATATGACTTAAGATATTTAAATATCAAAATATAAAGAAAATGTTTCGCACGCATAAAATAATTTGTTAACAAAGTATTAGCTGGACTAAAAAAATAGGAATAAGGTGCCAGAATAATTTCAATGAATATTTGTTTAGTTCACTTAGCAAGTCAAGGCATACAAAAGTATGGAACTGTCAGTGAAACATGAGCATACTGACAAGAATTACTTCCTAAACATCAGTGAAACAATGATATATTTATAAAAAACTCTACCTTAGGCATGCTTCATCCAGCAAGCTACAAAAGGGTAGGAAGCCATTATCGCCAAATAATGTTTGTGACATTATGGGTATCAACAGAAATGCATGCATATGTACAAGAGATGTGCTAAAATTCAGTAGCGCTGTGTAGTTTATAGAAGGCTTACTATCTTTTACTACTTTGGATTCAAAATTAACAAATTTCCTGGTGGTGCAGCAGCATATGTGTCGCTCTATTGACTACCTATTCAACTTGAAGAATTGTTACTGTTTAGATACCAAACCTGTTTGCGAAACAGCTGAGTGTTGATATGCTTCGCCGACTGAGTCTACTACTCCACTTTTACTAGCAGTTGTACATATTATAAGGGTTACCGTACACACACCTAAGAATTTGCAGCTGGAAGGTGGAAAAGTGTTCAACAGAGCAACTGCTCATTTTTTACTTGATAGCAGATATGATATCAATGTCTAGACTTCGTTGTTAAAGAAATTCACAAACTGATGAACTATAATTTACCTAACTTTATTGAAACTCTGACTATTAAATTACTCAAACAGAATAGATATTTTCAGTTTATTCCTTTCATGATCTGCATTTTGTTTGCTATCGTGGTTTCCTTCTCCCTTTTCTATTTCCAGTTTCTGTTTTAACAGTCAGACTTCTACTCATTTTATTCCTTTGAATAGTGCAACGTTGTTGGTCTTTTGAGACGGCAATGTATGGTATTATCTTAATTTCACGAATCTAATAAACGTTTTCATCATAAGGATACATTAAAATGTAGGACATTAAAACGAAATATTTTTCAACTTTCCTCTGCGTAAGCCACAGCTTCTTCATTGGAATATTTTTACTAAAAATCAAACTACATGATCAAATAGTACGTAAAACAGCTTTATGTGTTTAGGTCATTGGCTACGTGGTTTTGTGTTTAAACTGAGTAATTACGATAAGCTATCATAAATTCCTATCTCTAATTGCCACTTGCCACGAAAAAATGTCAGGCAGTAAAAGTGTTTATGCTGCTGAATATCTAGTTGTATTGTCCGCTCATGTCGTATAAAAATACAAAAAGATATTTTTATTAGTGAACACTTAGTGTAGTGGGCGTTACTGATTAGAATGGATATAAATAGTATGTGTTGAGAGGGCGGCAGAGATCATGGGAAATTACCAGCAGTGGGTAAGTATTCTGCCCAGAGAAATGCAACAGACAATGTGGGCGTATTGAGAGCAAATCAAAATGGAAGCAGAAGAGGAAATGAAGTACATTGTGCAAACGACTGTCTTAGTGAGAAGTGTACAAAATATGATGACTACTGTACAGGATGTTAATAATAAACATTCCTTCCTGCATCCCAGTCTTGTCATTTTCCACAGTAGTAGTCGTCATTGTTCTTAAAGTTCTAAAAGTTTTAAATAGGAGTAGTAATGGTATATGGTCCTGTAGGTGTTTTACAAATAGATAACAAGTCTGTCTCTTCTTTCATATTTATAACATATGTGATTAAAATATTTAAGGCTTATGAGGTCCATCTTTTGCTATATAAATGGAAACCATTTTCCATTATGTCCATATTATCAACATCAATCGTCTGTACGCTTTCGATTGCATGCATAGCTATTGCTGGTTGCTTTTCTAAATTTTCAGTTCCCCCTTATTCTTCGGTGCGTGTTTTGTAAGTACCATATGTTCATTCACCCTAATTTTTAAGTATCTTTAACTTTCTTCAGTATAACTGGCTTCATATTCCAGATATATAATCTTGTACTTATAAGTGTTCTGTCATCTAAGGAGTCGCATCTTTCACTTTAATTAACACCTTTTCCAGTGAATTTGAGGAGCAAACGTCATTTAAAGCTGTTCAGAAGTACCCTTTAGATGTGTCGTAGTTACACGTGATATCCAGGATTTCGTTATTATCTTAATTTTGGCATCAGCTACTTCCCTCATCTGATCGTTAATGTTGTTTCAAACCATTTTTCAGAATCTATCCTCAGATGAGGTTTTTTAGCTTTAGAAATCTCGTTTTCTATATCTTAAGGGTCTGTTATTTTTCTTTTGCTTGGATGTTGATTGGATGATGTAAATAAAATTTTAGACATTTATATTTTACTGTAAATTTACCTTCACTTTTTATTTAGATTAGGCGACCTAAGAAGTTTAGGGTCCTGTTCATAGACTCTATATCATATGTGAATTTGACTGAATTTGAAACTGAATTTACATATTCCAACAAAGCTTGTTGGTCTACTTTCACAAAATTGACTAAATTATCATCCACATACATTAAATTCTGAGATGGTATTGGAAACTGTTTCATACTCTCTCTTCCAGAGCTTTCATGTAAAGATTCGCCACAATGGGAGATGCTGGTCAACACACTGTAATTCTGTTTGTTTGATGGCACATTCTCTCTCTAAACGTAAAATATGCAGGTTCTATGTATAGCCTCGAGAATTTTGTAGTTCTCTTATTTAAAAGCATACGTCAAAATAATAAGCCTTCATAACTATCAGTTGCATTTCTTACAATATTAAGTAATGCAGAATTAGAATACTAGTGAAATGAGAAATCGCATTAGAGTGGTACGGGATTTAGGTAATAGAGAAATGAGTCACCATGATATAGCGTTACTAAAGAAGGTTTTTGAAAAATAAAGAGTTAGCTCCAATTATGGAACCAGTTTTGCCATTTACACCAAAAGAAGAAGCGAATGCACTGCATCTTAAGGTAGGTACTATCTTATCAAATCGGAAACCTGCTCCTTAGGATCTAGCGAAAACAGGATGAGTTGCCTTTAAAACATGAGTATCTAGAAAATCAATAACTATGACAAAATAAGAGAAAGGCAGTGTCACAGTTGTTTGTGAATAAAGAAGATTCCGACGAAAAAAAATTAAAGCATCTGTAAACAGGACCAGTATGAGCTAACCCCATTAATAAGCAATCTATCTTACTGAATAAAAGGAAAGCTAAAACATACAGCTTACTTACAAAAACGATACTCTAGCTTGGAAATACAATCTGGTTGACATCATTTACAAAGGCTGACTCAACTACCATATAATATGACAAAGAAAAAATTCACAAAACTAAGACCCCTGAAAACAATCACTGATTTTACGAATCTGATAACTCATTGCCTGAAGAAATACTGATGAAAAAATTCAGAACCATTTCACTATAACATTTCTTCGAATGTTAAAAATGCAGATTTCACTCACACGAAGTAACTGCTTCACAACAGTTATACATCACTTGTCAATGCAAGTAAAAGTCAATTTGCTTTTCCGCGTTAACAAGTGTCAGTCAACAATAAGAATCTAAGTGTGTAACAAATGCATACCGTTTTGATTTAAACACGAATCGGTCACAGCTAAGTATAGATACAGTACTTAGGTACACTATCGTGCACATTACTTGTTATTTGGCCGTTGAAAGTTATTATAAAGAAGTTGTTTTCAGCCTGGATTTCCCTTTCTGAGCATTCACCAAGAAAGCTTATCTGCAAAATATAGGAGACAGATTTTCTATTCAGTAGATGGACTCTTATCATTGAAGGATACAAATATGACTGACTGACAATGAATGAACATGGTAGGCCAAGTATACCTCGCTGTCTGTTTTCCATGATTCTTGAAAACTTAGCAATTTAATGCCAGCCTTTTCCTACGCTGTATAAGATGTTGTCTAATGCTTAATGTAAACCCTTGTTATGGTATTATTTTCAAAGATGAATACAAATAAAATGTTATACATCAGTTATACATAGTAGTGAAGTTCATGTATGCTTTTTTTTTACTCCTAGTTGACTACATTCTGTTAGATCCAGATGAACGGAAACGACTATTTATAGAATGGTTGCCCGTTCCATATCCAAGTTTTGTTGTTCGGGCCCCAGTACCGTGGCATACAAGACGTAAAAGAGCATATGAATTCTGCAAACGTTTCTTATTTACAACAGGTCCGATACCGTTAGCTTTACAAAATATTTGGTGTACAGAGTAAGTGTAATCCTTGTCAATTTTGTTTGTTTTCAAAAGAAATAATTGTCACTTTTTTACTCCCATCTTTCCAAGGAAACTAAACTCAAGAATAAAGTTCCAAAAATCACAAGAGTTATTTGGCAGAGTGAATGAAAAAAAAATTCATAGCTAAATGAAGAAGTAGATATTTTTATGTTCATCGGTTGCCAGACAGACAAATAACTTTATATGGAAGTATTCACTACAGTCGCATAAAGTGGGACTGTTTGAAGTGTCGCTGTATCACTTTCTTGTAGCCAAATCTCCCCTAAATTAGCTTGTGTTAGTGAGAAAATCTACTCTACAAGAAAAGACTAAAACGTAATTGCATCAATACGTGTTGCAAGCTGTTTAAATCGGTTAACAAGAATATTCGAACAGCTGATCTTTTTACCTTTAGGTTTACCAAGTAAGTCAAACATACGCTCTATTCATTACAAGTTCAGTTAAACTTCATATGATATGCATAGTTTATCACTTTGTAAGTTCAGGATACGTAGAAGGATGAATCTAGTCAACTGTTTGCCAGCTGTTCGAAAACTATTTAATCCATGTCCACGTTTGCAACAACTGAGTAGGTCTTTAAGTTCCCAGGTGCGATGGATTATGATTTAGTTTGGAAACCACTGAATCAAAGCCACTAGTTACTATCTCCGACACAAGCGGTTTGATTCACTGAAATAGACAACTCACTGGCACTAGTAGTTAGACACTACACATACCAACACGCATATGTCGACATGCAGATAAAGGTGATACAAAACGGAATAACTGTTTCTCTCATTTAGAAATGAACTCATCAGAAACACTTAGTAACATTTTTGCGTAAATGGAACTTCTAAAGTACACTGGCATATCCTGATTTCTTTAAGACAAATCCACCCGAGGAAAATTTGTTGCAAAGATGCCATAAATGTAAGGTATACTTATATACTGACAACATATTGAACCAGTTAGCTTATATTACAGTCGGCAGTGGTCACAGGAGTACCTTTTTCATTGAGATATTTCTCCTAAATTTGAGTACATGTCATCCATTGCTACTACTTAAAGGAAGATTTTCTGGTTATTCTTGTATAAAGTATATTGCAATTTCGTATTAATGTTCACATGACGTGTGCAATAAGCTGGCTTCTTTGTCAGTAGTAATTTGCTATTATGCTATGCTCTGTACAGCTGTGTAATCTTTCACTGATTCAAGTATCAGCAGCATTTAAATTTTGTCAGTGGTGTACAAACGTTTTCGCACACAAACCTATCAACATACAACAGCAGTAAGTAGGAAGGTACCCCTAAAATTCACCTGATACATGTCTTACTTCAAAGTCTTTAAGTGTTAACTACTTCAGGAAAACAGAATTATTGTCGGCAAGTGTTGCTGTATTCATATACAAAATCACCAGCTTATTCCTATAGAGAAACCTTGGCTTTGTTAGCAAAAGAAAGTTATTCAACCTTTTGTATTCTCATGGTTTCAATTTTCGGTCTTTGAAATCACCTCTGTTTTGATACTGTTCACCTTTTGTGTAATTTACCGTTAACTCTCGTTTTTAAGATCTTTCTGATCACCCTTACGTTTCCAAATATTTGGTCGCTGTCTTTACGTAACTCCAGTCATATTTTGATTGATCTTGACCACTAAAAACAACTTTTGATTTTAATGACAGCTTGTGCATTGACATTAGTTTTGTTGCCATGTCTGACTAACCTCTTTAAATTATCGAACAATGACACAAGGAAAAAGTGTGAGAGTTTACGACTGTACACCTTCAAGAGTGTGATCGCCGAAAAGACACTTCCCACTGAAATACTTGCTCTTCTATCATGTCCTGACGGGTATCTTTAGCAAACTGATGGAAAGTCTTCAGACCAAAATGTTTACTCCCCATTTTATTGTGAATTATTATATGACGAAGAAACAAATATGGAATAAACTAAGGATAGGATAGTCATTTAAACTGAACGTCCAATGCGGCAAAATTAAGCACGAAAGTTCACAAAGTATACTAAACATTAACGAGGAAAATACGGTTTGTGACACATTGCATAATTCAGGAGTTAGTTTTGTTACAATTTCATCTTGAAGAAATTAGGCCCTTTTATTAATTTAGATAGGCCAGTGAGAATGAGAGAACATATACCTAAATTTCTTCAAAAACAAGTAGAGTATGAACATTTGATGAACCCAAATGGGAGATAACCCTCTTCTTCTATAGCTTAGCATATAATAGAAAGGAGTCACAAAAGTAATGTCCAAAGAGCTTAGGAAGTTGTACATAAAAATAGTCAGGGACGCATGCTGAGATTTATGGGAGCAGTAGTCATACGCTAATTGAAACCACTATTTCGCTTACGAAAATAATTTGTTCTTACACCACACCTACTCTGCTAAACTTTCTTTTCTTACCGAAATTAGGATCAAGCATGTCATTCTTCATTTCAATCTTTTTTAATTTTAATCCAATATCATTCTAATTGTTTTATTTGTTCTCCCTTTTCTTTGGTTTTACATAAATTGACTTTACGAGTATCAACAATACAAGTCTACCAAACCACGGTTATCTCATATATCCAAACTGATAAGCAAACAATGCGATTATATTGTCGGAAATGTATTGCATGAATAAATCACGTTATTCGGATAAACTTCATCTTCTGATGTCACAGTTTCATCAGCACTGAATAATTCAGAAGTAAGGTATAGAAAAGCTGCATATTCAGGAATGTGCTGACTGATCAAATAAGTTTCTAAAATAGGGGTGTGAATTATTTATACCAGAAAAAATTTCATGAATGATGAACGTGTATACTAACAATTCATTTTCATGCGTGGAAAAAAGATCGTCCTATAACTTTTTTGTTTATGTATTACAGATTCTCACATCTACGTTTTGTAAATTATGACGAATTAATAAATCTTCCATCTCCTATTGAACCGAAAGAATTTGAAAGATTAATTACTGAACAGTGTCAAGCAACAAGGGAAATTCTACGAAAAAAGTAACTATGTTATGCTCTAATATTCATTTCATTGCTTTTAAAGCTTAATCGGAAAATAAATATGTTCTTTAATCCCATGATTCGAATTCATGAAAATAACCTCCACGGTAAGGAAAGCTGTCACAAGACAATTCATAACATTGAAGTCCTAAGACACTTAGTACATGCAACCCATCGTGTACGTTTATCGATAGTCTTTGATCAATACTGGCGAGTAGACTATCTATCAGACCAAATCATTTCACCATATAAGCTTGATTAAATGTGTAAGTAATAGGGTAGAAAAGCTCACCAGTAGGACAGAGAATCTGAAAGAAGAAACTAGACACATTAAAAACATTACTTCTCAATAACTACCTACCTAAATTTATCAATAAATATAACAGAAATCGTACAAAAAACATGAACAGTGGTAGTAACTGATGTAATGATAACTCTACTACTAATAATAATGCTGGCTGCTGTAATGGTGACAGGTTGGAGAGGGAATTCAAAGCCACTACGGTGTTAGCATACAAGGAAGGCATCTCAAAGACATTACGTAGGATTCTTAATAAGTCTAGGATTAGAGTAGTGATTTAACATACAATTTTATGGACAAACAAGCTTAATAGGTCCTAATGTGCTATTGATTCAATTAGGCAAAATAATTTAGTTAACCAATTAGGCTGTCCGAGCACAAAAGCTTAGCTAAATCAAGATTAGTAGATTCAAATAAAATGAGGAATTTAGAGAAAAGTTTGGCTTTAGCTATGCATGCCATCGTACGTATTAGGGTAAAGTAGAATGATAGAATGACAGTTACAGGAGGCGACTGACAGCCGAAAACTGGTTTATCAAATTAACACAAAATATGTACAATGGGGATGCTTCTACACCTGTCCCAAATATATAGAAAATTCTACGTCCTTTAACATAAATAAGAAGAGATAAAAAAGTATATAAACCATGTCTTAAAGTTGTGGAGTTACCTGATATGATATATCACGGGACAAATCGTCTGCTGCATGCACTTTAGTGTGGTAACTGGACTGAATTCATCTTATTGAAATTTTTTAAACGACGATTCGAAGAACTATGTCGGTGCTGATGGGCCACATAATCATATGACAGTATGTAGGCATACGATTAGTTCAGTTTGCGCTTCATTATCTGTGTGGATATCAAAGCTGCAACTGAGTAGATAGGATCGACGTATGATTTTATTCAGTTTATTGGTTTAGTTTGACAGTACAAGATAATATTAAAGAACAGTTTGCTTTGGTCATAAATTAACGAACAGTTAGCCTACATGTCTTTACACAGAATGACCACCTGCTAATACCAACATTTTCAACATCTCATAATTAACTGACATATGGTACTGTCCTGTTTCATAACCTTAATTTTGGTCATTTTTCTTCGGATCAGATTAATTTTAAGTGAGTCTTAGTCGTTAACAATAATCAAATATTCTCCAGAAATTCAAACATATTCACGTAACATGTTGTTTTTATCTCCATTACAGTTAGTTGATCCGTTTCTTGTAACTTTTTTCACAGTGAACGTGAAATACTAGGAAAGTGACACAAGTTAACTGAAGAGTTTGCAAACGCTTATCAACTAATATAGCTGGATATATCATGAATACTTATATTCCCACGACCTTAACTTATGACAGTGTCTAGAGTAGGATAGGTTTTGAAGTAGTCAAACGCTGATATGGTGTCAACGCATGTAAACTTGAACTGTTAGTTTTATAATGAAAGCTTCTCATAAAAATTCAAATAAGTTTTGTATACAGAAATGTCAAAGGCGATAACTACTAATTAGTGAGAAATATGACCAAAACAGAGAAGTCCATAGGGCAGCTGAAATCTTTTATTTAGCAAATGGTAAAATTACTTCAACTAGCGATACTTTATCCATTTGAAAATTATTCCTTGTTCTGTATGTCAAACCGCCCAGTCCTTGCACTTATATATTTCCATTCAATATTGTATGTTCTTTTGCATGATTTCTTACCAATCTATCGTCATTATTTTGGACGTTTCTATATATACTACTTCTGTGCGTTCTTCTAAGTAGCTCTCACCACAATCACCCATGTAAGATGGTGTTGGCTTCCAGAAAGACGTACAAAGTTACATATACCATCTTACAACGGCGTACTGATCCAATTTCCTAAACCTTACAGTAACATATCTCAATGTATAGAATCAATTTTAGGCCATGCTATTAAGGAACTGGCTGACTGACTGGCCAAATCAACGTAGAACCTCGCACAAAAGTGCATCGGCTCAAGTTACCACACTTCACAGTAGTTTGAAAAGAACAGACGGATAGAAAAGAGTGATGTTAAATGTAGACAAAGTCGTGTGACAGAATAACAATCTGAAGACAAAAGATAGAGTGAATATTCAAGCTTTAGTTGTCAAGGAGTGAATACAACTGTGCCATTGTGACCGATTTTCAGCTATCCCACCAAGAGTCCTCAACCACTTATCCCTTTCGTCTCGGGGACCGGGACAAGGCAGTCTACATCTCCCCGCATGCCTCAGACCAGCAGTTAGAGACTTCTTCAACTGGTTCCAGGTCTTGGTCTTCCAACCTAGTCTGATTTCCCTCAGCATGGCACGTCGAGGTAGACAGTGGCATGGCGTGCGCAGTACATGTCCTCACCATCTCAGTCAACTTAGACTCACAAATTCATCAATTAACTTCTTTTCTTCCCTAGTATCCTTCACCTGACATCAACATTGCTAACACTAAGGTTCTTCAATCACTGGTTTTTAAGACATCCACAAGGTTAGTCAGCTTGTCATATGATGTATGACCAAAGTTCCATTCTTGTTGGTATTAATCAGTATAGCATATCTACGGAACTATAAAACCATATTGCGTTCACTGTTTCAGAACCACACTGTCCGGTATTGTGGTTAAAAGTTTCACATTTGATTCCCCTCAGAAATATGAATACAATATACTGAGTGGTAAAAAGTATGAAACGCGAGTCTAAAGCTTCTTAGCAGTTATCTCTAAACAACCAACTCCTAATACGTCATATTACAAAGTATTTTCATCGAGCCTAATAGCTGAATTACTTTAATTTTCTACTTATTGATAATTTTCCGATTGATATTGAAGAACACGCTACCCCGCTGGTTGACCATTTATGTGACAACAATATTTTCGTAGTCTGTTTGGTGGCTATCGAAGGAATTCAAGACGCGCGCTTCGTCCCACTTATAACTTGTCAGTTGGATATACCTACACTCCAAGTGAGTGGTGTTGGTCCCGTTGAGACTCGGACCCAGTACCTGCCGCTTCAAACACCGAAGTGTTATCCACTAGGCCACTGGGTAACGGGACCCACTACTTTTGCAAAGGGGTATTAGGTGTCGTTGTTTGTTGATACTTGTAATTTCTCTTTTCTATGCTCGGTCAGATTGCTTGACCAACAGGCGTCTTTTGTCGAGCAATTCGATAGAGTATAGAAACAAGAAATTACAAGTATTAATAAAGAACAACAGGATTTTTCGTTCTAAGATAAGCTGAAAATGTTACACTAATCACTGTTTTATGTCAGCCTGTAATAATATTCTGGATTCCTGTATCAACAGAAAGACAGACATTGAATGCAGTACGCAGCACCATAGTATATCCCCTCAAATTGCCATAGTTTATATCAGCCTAAGAAGGAGAAAACCAGTAAGATGAACAGAACGGAGGTATTATCACTGGTATGAGTTGTCGTGAAAATCATAATGTTGATAGTAACCGGTGGCAACTAGTTTTAAAACTTCAATGAAGAATATCGGATGAGGAAGCTTTATTTATTATTATTTTTCCCTTGGGTTCCTAGTGGAACATAGGGATTCAGTAGCACGCCTCCATCGCACTCTCTTCTCTGCAGTCTTTTGAACCTGACGCCCACAGGCTTTCATTTCTTCTTCACATGATTTCGTCCATGTCACCCTCAGTTGAGACGCCCAACTCGTTTCCCCCTTGGGTTCCACTCGAGGACCTGGCCTGGTACATGCTGTCCCTAATCGGTCTTCTAAGTAAGTGTCCAATCCATCTTCACTTTCTTCTGCATATTTGTTGGGTGATAGGTTCTTGCTTCGTTAGTTCGTTCACAGAGTTCCTTGTTGCCAATTCTTTCTGGCCATCAATCTGATCTTCAGCATCGAGCGTAGGCAGCTGTTGATGAATGTCTGTAGTTTGTCGGAAGTGCTTTTCGTGACTCGCCAAGTTTCTGAACCATATAGCGGCACTGACTTGACATCAGACATAAATCATCGGTGGCGAAATCCAAATCTTCTAGGGTCTTTCAATTGGTCAAACAGCGTATACCCATCTTCTCGCTCCTCACGGTTTGTTTCACGATCCAGTCCAACACAGTTAAGAAGATCATCGCTGATAGTAGGCCGCCTTGTTGTGTCTTACTCCGGACTTCACTTCAAAAGAACCACTGACCTTTCCATTGCGAATCACTAAGCATGTAGCCTCATATAGCATATAATTGTAGAATGAGGTCAACGAGGGTTTATGACACCGTAGTGTTGCAGCAACTGACAAATTACTTCTCGGTCAATGTTATCGAAGCAAGGCCTTTTCAACATCGATGAAATTGAGGTAGACAGGTGACTGCAATTGTATACTCTGTTCTATGATGATGCGTAGCCGAGCGTTGCAATTTGATCCGCACATGATTTGTTCTTCCGGAAGCCAGCTAGCCAGCCACCAGCCAGCCAGCCAGACTGTTCCAGTCGTAATTTTGAATGCAGAGCATTTTAGTCTCTCCAGGTTGGTGCGGCTTAATATCTTGCTTGGAGTGGATAGGAGAGGAGCATGATTTCGCGTCAGTTCTTGCAATGACTTAGGTCTCCCTTTCTTGGGAGTTTGACAAGGTAGCCCCCTCTTCCAACCAGTCATCAGGTACCTTTCCTTCCTTCCTTCCTTCCTTCCCTGCAAACCTTCTGCAATAGTGGTGTCAGCATATCCGCTGCTGATGTCTCTGCATCTGTTTTCAGTGCTTCTGGTGGAATTTCCATCTGGTCTTGCTGCTTTCCCGGATTTCAGCAGTTTTATGGCGTTCAGGACTTCACTTCTGCCTTTGTCGGATCGGACAGCCTTTGCTCACCAGTAGTTGTGTGGCTGAGCCGCTGATAGTATATCTGGACGAGTTGGAGGTGGTAGTGTTGGTAGTGGTCGATTCAAGAGTTTCTGAAATGGTCAACCCATCGTTTCCTTTGTGTCTCCTCTCTAGTGGTAACTAGGTTTCCTTCACTATCTCTCATTGGCTTCATCTGCGTTGATCTCTCCCTCCAAATAGAGTAATCTGGTTATTCGACAAAATATTGTTAGGTCTCTGTGTCTATTACGTGCAGCCTGTCCTGTTTCATTTGCCAATGTGTCTTTGCGTGCACTCTTCTTCACCTCTTCGTCCAGTGTAGTGTTTTACAGGCTGTACTCAGTTCCTCTTTTCGTTGTTCATCCCTGCACTGCACTGCACTGCACTGCACTTCACTGGTTCATCTTCTGCTTCACAAACTTCCTCTTCCTCTCCCTCTCCCTCTCCCTCCTCTATCAGCTTCCATGTATCCGTGGATATTCATTCCTTGTCTTGTTTCTTCTTCATTCCTAACACGGTTATGCAGGTCTCCTTCCACGTCTCTTTCAAAGACTTCCAGTGTTCTTCCACGCAAGTTTCCTCGGGGATTTCGCATAATGTTGTCCCCATTTCCTCCTGATAGCTGACTGACGTGAAGATGTCCTCTCTAGTTTCGTCCTTCACTTTCTGTTCTGGGTGTTCAACTTGAACTGTGGTCTATCAACAGATTCTTGGAAGGCTTTCAACTTGGTTTCGAATGTGGGTTCCCTGCATTAGATAGTGAGTGGTGTGAACCTACCTATATCTGCTCCCTTTCTCGATCTGATCTTGTGTCCAGTAGGCATGCTGTGTCTCCACTTTCTTCACATTGAGATGAAATCTATCTGATTTCCAGTGTAGTGTGTCTAGTGTCTGGTGATATCAAATCCATGTCGCTGCCTTGTGAATATCCTTGTGTTTGTACACACTGCCTCCAGTCAACAAGTCATTGAATTCGCAGAAATCTGTGAACAGTTCTCCATTCTCATTCTTAACTTCACTGAGTGCTTCTCAACCCATGATGAGTTCTCTTCCTGTGTTGTCTGCTCCCAGTTCGGCATTCATGTCACCCATTATAAATTTGATAACGCCAACTAGAGTCTTGTTCAGTGTTGATTGCAGTTGTCTGTAGAATTCCTCCTTCTTCTCTTCATCTGCATTATTTGTAGGTGTGTAGCATTGAATGATTTTTACTTCGCTTCCTTTCGAGTTGAATCCGTCTTGCTGTCATGATCCTGATCGTTGAGTAGATTGTTTGTCACTGCATGAGAGCTTTGGATGCTGTTGGTGACATCATCATCGGCACTCGAAAACTCAGTGTGCTCGTGTCTGTCATCAGGGTGACAATATCGGAGTAGATTAATTGACTCCTCTCCAGTTGACAGTTTGGAGAGTTCACTTCGAATCAATCTGCTTTCGCAGATTCCAAGCACTTCCATGACATACCTCCTCATCTCTTTTGCAATCTGGACAGCCTTGCTAGGTTTATACGTGGTGCGGACGTTCCATGTCCCCATCCTTACTTTTGCTTTCATCGAGAGAAGAGAAGACGCATCGGCGAATTGGCCTCCCGAAGGCTTTCACCAACCAGCTTCATTTTGCCTCTCAGATTCCATCGAGGAATAAGTTTGTTTTTATTTTTTATATTTTGTCTGTGCTTTGAAGTTTGTGTAGCGATTGGATTGGTTTAGCAGGGTAGGGTTGCAAGCCCTATGTCCAACCTTTGCTGTTTATCTGGGCTTAGACAGACTAGCAACAAGTGAACCAGTTAACCAGGCGAGGTTAAGGATTAGCATATCAGAATCTGTAGATGAATACTATTAAATTAAAAAGACATAAATAACTCCTTGTATTTGAGTTGCATTGTGGTGAGTAGTTAAATAGCATTATGTTGTTACCCCTAGCAGCCATCATCAATGAAACTTCACAATAGGAGCGTAGTAACCTGATTTTACCTGAGTATTTACATACGACGATTATACTGCATCCCATCCTGATAGTTCGATCGGCAAATATTTTGTGGATGGTGAAGATGTTTAATTAACGTTTATCAATTTGCTGATCAGAAGTAATGTAGTTAATTATTTGCCTGATTTCATTGATTTTTCCAAAATAAAATCCAGAATGCTTCGATGCAGATGTTTAAATTTACTTCTTAATGTTGTGCTGATGCTTTAACACTTTTTGTCTGATTAAAAGTTATTATATATGACCTCATGTGATTAGCTGCTTTCTACTAAGAAGGATGTTTTTTCACTCTGGTTGAGTAATTTGTTTCAACTGAAGGGGATGCTTTGTTATTTGTTGTCGACTGATAAGCATGTTCTAGTAAAAATGAAAACAGGTTACCAGTATGTCAGGTTCATCTGACACTCAAACTCCTGTAATTTTCCAGTCAATTTGGAATCATTCAGAGCAGTCACATTTTAACCGCTGTTCATGACTAGATTTTACTGTAGGTATTAACTGATATAAAAGTGAAACTCCAGCTTAAAGGATAATTCAGTGTGAAGAATCAGTAAGTGAACTAAAAATATGTACCAGAATCTCTACTTATTCATAATTATGTTTGAATATTTTATGTTTCAGTTGGATACCTAAATGCGCACAAGCATTCATTGAATTGCGTGATACGTGGGCTTATCTATTGCCAGCTCGTTCATCTGATTCAATGGAGTTGGTCAGATTATTTTTTGCATGTATTGCTGCTTTAATGTCTGCACAGTTGCGCGGAATGGTAAATAAATCTTTACAAGATTTACTTAGTGTACTACAGATACATAGTGTAAGTATTGTTTCTAAAGATTCCACTATTATTTTTGAAATTTATCATGATAAATATTGACTAACATTTTCCGTAATTCAAGAGCTAGTTGTATCTTCACTTCAACAAATCTGCCGAGAGTTTACGTCATCACTGTAAGCTGCATTCGTTTGAAAACCATATTTCTAATATGTCAACTAAATTTCTACATTCTAATCAAGAGTAGTGAAACAACCGATTAAGCTGAGATGTACGTATGATAAACAGACTGATAAATTTAACGTAGAATGTTGCACACAAGTACATAGAAGCAAGTTACCACACTCCCCAGAAGTTTGTGAAGTATATATGGGTAGAAAAAGATTGATTTAAAAGTATACAAAAGTGTATCGGCGGAGAAATAATTTGAAACTCAAGGTTAGTGGAAATGTTCAGCCTTCAGAAGACATCAAAAAGGGAATACACCTACGCCATCGTAACCGATTTTCAGCCATTTCATCAACGGTCTCTAACCACTGATTTCTGTTGTCTCGGGGACTCCATCCAAGTATTCTAAACCTGTCTACGCAGCTCAGACAAACGGTCAGAGACTTCATGCACTAGTGTCACGTCTCATTTTGGGCATTCTGGGCAGTTTCTCAACCAGTCGTATTTCATCTTACACTGTACGTCTAGTTCGGCAGTGCTTCAACGTGACCAACACATCTCTAAGCCACCTCAATTGGTGAAGGTTCATTACCTCATCAACCAGCTTGCATGAGTAGGCTGGAATCCCTCTCAGACATTGACACTGCTTACATGTTTATTGTAACATACCTGAGCAATGCTTAAAAGATATATGTATTCGAAAACCTATGAACTTTTGTTATCTACTTTTAACGGCCATGTTTAACAGCCATATAACTGGACAGAACAAAATTCAATGTAGTACAGTCGTCCCTCAGTAGGTAGTCAGATATCTTATCAATGCCAGAAATGATGCAGTTTAGTTTATGCCAAATAGGCCTTCCGAATCCCAGCTGGGATTTTGTCAGCGACCAGTTCATCTAGGCTGACTCAATTTCCTAAGTAAGTGAAGTGGTCGACACATTCCACCATCTCACTTGCTATCCTTAAACCAGAAGTAGTAACAGGTTAGTTCTGGAGCATTGTAACAGACTGCCAATTCTTAGGTATCAGCTGGTGATTATTGGTCAAAGTAATTACAACAATAGCTAAAATGTAGAATAATCACGGTAAAATTTGCAAAATTTTTAACAGCTTGTCACATAATTGATATTGGTAAGATGCATATGTTTACTAAGTTTACCATGGAGCATATGAGAAACAATTAATCTCAGTTTTTTGACTTAGGACTTTGACGAGGAAGAGATAACTTGTGTTACAGAAAGAAACACAGAGCAGGCAGTATCTTCATTTTATAAGCTTCTTCCAAAGAGTGATAACTAAGGACCAGTTAGAACGGTATTTCATAGAGCTGGGAAACTTTGTACATCAGATAATCTGACTGAAGAATTTTACTTCATCAATAGATGTCTGAAAAAAATAGTTATCTTCAGACGTCTACAAATTAAGTCAAAACAAGAACAGCAACAGCAAATGAACTCGAAAATCCTGAAAAAAAGTCTGTTTTTCTCCTCCGGACCTTTTAGAAGAATGAACTAATGAATGAGATTAACGGAAAAATAAGAACAGCACTTAAAATCCCTTTCCAAGTTAGTTTCCATGCGCAAAACAAGGTGTTCACAACAAAATTCCTGTTTATATAATCTCAAATTGTATTTACCGATTCAGGTGTACATGCCAGAGCACTTATATTGTAAAGATAGGCATAAGGGATAAGACTCGGTTTCGTGATCTGATTCCAGATGTAAGGTAAGCATGAAGAGATGAAATTGTTTTACAAGTTCCATTGCTAAACACTTGATGGATAAGAAAACACGACATACAAATCTTAAGCCTACTTAATACAGTCATCAAACAAAGTAATACTAATTTAATGATTAAGTACAAGCATTTGTTGACAAGAAAACTAAACCGGATATATGTACGTAAAAAAAAGCAGTTGCTAACCTTCAGAATGCATGGTAGCCAATGATTTTCGTTTTTACTCAAAATAAACTCAAAAATTTCATAACATTTTGTACTTTGATCCCCTTTTATATGGATTACACAATCTCCACAATCTTACTGTCTGACCCAATTTGATTCGACCTTAATCTACATTGAACCTTGCTCTTACATTATTAACTTATCACATACACTAAGAAATTTCGATATATCGGATGCAGTGGAGTGACAATCTAACTAAATAAACACTGTACAACTTTGACTTTAGTCCCGATAATTTATTTCATTTGGAATTCCTGAATATGTACCGTTTCTTTCATTATCTTTCGTCAATGGACTATCTTCCTTTAAGTCACTAAGGTGTGTAGGTTACATTTTTCGGCATATGTCTTATAATTCCACTAGCCGATATGAAGTTGGAAAGAAGGCGGCAAAATACCAGGAATTCATTGTATTCATCAAAATATTTGTTCTTGCTTTATGAAAAAGATAATTGATAGTTTGTATAGTAGTGGCTAACAAGAGGAAATGAGCGACTGACAATAACTGAGTAAGAACCATGAGGAAGAACAAGATAGCCTAAAATATAATAATACTAGTGATAATAATAATAATCGCGTGTGAGGTGAACGAGAGAGAGGGTCATTTTTGCATAGATAACTTATACAGATGACCAAGACAAAGAGAGGCCGTCCGAATTTCTTTTGAACACAAAGGCTTAGCTTAGTTCAAGTAAATTCAGTTGGCTCCTGCTGTATGTAAAAAACGAACTTGAACAGCAATAGTGAAATTGGAAAGAATGTGATAAATAACTTAAAAGACCCTATTTAGGCAGAGTCGGTGACTAGATGAGGAAGTATGGAGCTTCATTCCGATCTTCTTCGTCACTTACGTACTGTGAAATTCAAGATGGACTTGCCTAACCGTATGATCAATGTAACTAGCTCCACAGGAGCAGTTGAACTGTCAAATACACAAAGAGGAGGCGAAGTCAAAAATTCTGTCTTTGATTGACTAAGTCAAGACCGATCGATCGTAGAATAAGTAATACAACTCTTCTGCACTAAATTACTTTCGTATAGCTCTTCTTAGATGTTTTGCTGCAATTACGCTGATGTTGTCATCCCGAAAAAGATCTCTTGGGAAGGATCATTTCTTTGAAACTGTTAGTACTTTGATTTTTTATGCTGGACATGCTCATACTTTCAGCAAGGATTTTTGCTGGATATCCTTTATTAGTGGGCAGATCAAGGATAATCTTCGGGTCGTTTATAGGAAGTATCGTGTGAACAGATAACTCATGCCTGATAAACCAAATATTTCACTTAAATTCATTTATATTCCGAAGGAACGTAACAAAAAAGTGAGTATGTTGATCGGATGACTTTGGCACCCGATATACATTCATTTTTATAATTCCACTCGCCTCTCTTGTCGACTGGATATCTACGAAGTTGATACTAAAGTCCCCTTCTTTCTTAACGATGAAGCCAGTCACTGGTTGGATACTAATGAACTTATCCAATATAATCCACGTGTTATTCTTATTCTTCAAGAATTCGAATTTTAACCTATACTTAGCGGCAGTAAAATTCTAACTGAATTATTAGGCCTACTTAAAATTACATTTTCTCCTTTATCTAAAGGATATTTTACTAGGATTAAACCCAGGGGTGATACCATAGCAACACTGTTCAATTGCTTATATAACTCTTTATTGAAGAGGTAGTGTACCTTCATGGAAAATTTTCCAAGTTCTTTCAAGGTAGCTGGGCGAAATCCCAGTTTTTATATTTCTTATTGTCCGTTTACTGCAGAATCGGTATGACACTTCTCACGATATCATAAACTTATGATTCACATTCAGATCGCTTATCCTCTCAGTAAACTGAAAAGTAATTTCAACACTCTGCCTTACTAATTCATTGTGCAATGGCTTCACCCCCCATATTGTACGAGGAGTTCAACGTACTGAGAAGAGGTCTGCGAGCCAATTCAATTTTGTTTATTTTCAGTAAAACCTATAAACCCATCGTTACTTTGCCGGTAGGCATTAGTATTTCGCACACACTTTATGAAACGATGTCTTTCTAGTTCAACTTTCTTATCAACAGCAAAAATGATAGTAGCTAGCAGTAGAATTCATGACGTTTCGTCCAATTTTGAACTTGTTACTTCAATGTACCTGCCTCAAAGTCTTTCCTGTCATGTCAATGTTAGTTGATAGCTTCGAAAATTTATTAGGACCATTGAGCAGACTGTTCATTTTATCCAAACATTCCGCTTCATTCATAATGACCGCTCCTGAGACTATCAAACCTAGCGATCAATAAATCTTCATTCATTTGAAGTTTACGTCAAGCTTCTCTATATCTCTTAATCAGGATGCTTCTAGCATTCTACTTCCAATTCATATATTTATGGTGAACTTAGATCTTTTCACTTCCTCAACAGACAAGGGGTCGTTCTCTGTCTGTTATTATAAATATATGAATAGGAAGCAGAAAGCTGGGAGCATCTTTACTGAAGCTTTTTGCGAAACTCAAATGAATGAGAATTTATTGATCACTAGGTCGGATACACACTGAGGGATGGTGATTATGAAGGAAGTGAAATGTCTGAATAATATGAACAGCCTGCTTAATGGTCATAGAAAGTTTGAAAAGCTAGCTGCCAGCTACTATCGATCTGGCAGTAAGTGTGGGTTACTATTGTATCCGAATTTCATATTTAAAGACTCAGCTTGATGAAATCCCAACGAAAATACACATCAGCTCAAATTACTTGCCTTCCCAACTTATCATATATATATATATATATATATATATATATATATATATATATATATATATATATATATAATGAGAAGCCGTGACCTGTGGAGTCAACCAGTCGGAAGTGAAGAGGGAGCCAACTGGAGGCGTTGCGTGATAGTCGCGCTATATCGCTAATTGACAGAAGTAGAAAACTGTGAACCGATAGTTGGAAGGTTAACGCATCCGCCTTGAAACCCTAAGGTCCTGAGTTCGATCCCCAGAGAGCTCGTAGATGAGAACTGCTGAGTCGTCCCATAATAGGCCGAAACGGTTGTCCAGTGCTCTCAGGTTTCCAGTTGTTTTCCAACTGATGTCAGTCCGTGATGAAAGCAGATTAAAATATTCTGGGAAGAAAACTGATTACCTTCTGATTGGTCGACTAATCGACAAACTGTCCAAACAGAATCGTGAACGTGGTAGACTTTGAAGTTATATTGGCTTTCATTAAACAGATAAGCTGTCATAAATTAAATTTTGCTAACCGCTTAGAATGATAATACAAGTAAATTTATGGAAGCAATTACCATCAATCAAAACAGCCTCAGAAATAATGAAGCATAACCATAGTCATCAGGATATGCTATCATTCATTTATTTTGTAAGTCCTAAATCTAACATTTGTCACGAATATTCTCGAGTTAAGCCACGAAGCTCAGAAATATAAGACCACCGAAACCGTCTACCTTTGGGTAGAAGCCGTTTTATACTGTTTCATAATTTGTGAAATGATAATACCCAACTACTTGAAATGAATAAACGTATACAAAATTTCATTTTTTTGAATCAAACATTGATTAAATTATTTATTTTAATTTTTGAGTTCAGATGTATGTGAAGGAAAATGCCTGCAGGGAACGAATTGATAATTATAGATGTCTTGATAGTCGTTCTTTACCAAGTAGGCTAGTTCATCTTCGTACAGTATCAGGAATTTATGAAATAACTTTCCTTTGTTTCTACAATACTGAATGACAATTAAATAAGGCACCTAACTTTCCCACTTAAATTTCATTTCGGCATATCAGAGATTTTACATAATGCGACAACAGACACTTTGATACAAAATTAAGATACTAATAAGGAACAGAAATGATGAAAACTGATGAGGATGTATAACCTATCATCAGGTTTATAAATAAGAACTCCATACCACTGTACTGCTGAAAATAATTTTCAACTGCTTTACTGGTTTTATGCAGTATAAGTGCTAATCTCAACTTATCAACTAACGTTTCCTGGCAGTCAACTGAAAGCATATGGTTCTCATAATTTAATCTGACAATCGCTATCTGACTTCCGGTTTTATTGCATTTCTGCAATGTAGTCAACACGTAAGGGTTATAATTTCATGTTCACTGAAGTATCCACAATGCCTTTTTTTATTACACAACCACATCTAGTTAGCTTACAGTGTTTGTCGGTTAAATGGAATGAGTTATATGACATGACCGAATAGTCATAACCTTATTACATTTTCTTCTAATCAAAACAGAAGAGATTTGTGAAAGAAACTTTTCTTGTACCAATGGTAGTTTTATCCCAACTGCTTTGCAAAAAGTTAATCAATTAAGATTGGACTGACCGAATTTAACTAAGTACAATGAACTCATTTTACTTCAAAACCATTTTATAAAGTATACTTCAGCAAATATTCCTTTATGAAGCAACTACAATAAGTTACATTTTCCTTCATTAAACAAGTAGATGTTAGAGTTAGTATATAAAGTGTTAAAGATGTTTGAAGTGAAAAAAGTGTTGTAGGCATAAAGTTTAAGGAACAGAGTGTTTAAGTTAGGTCTTCAGTTGGGAGACGTCAATAAATTAATGAACATAAGTTGAGGGAAAAAGAAAGTTTTATCCGTCAATGTACAGAACAGCGTTAAATGAGAAAAAATATTCCAGAAAGGAAATCCATCATTATTCCTTAATAAAGTGACTTTCTAGTAAGAAAGATATACGAATTTCCTACAATTTACCAGTCAAAACAAGGATTTCATATGTTTTCTTAGAACACAGAGCTGAGCCCTAAAGTTGTGAACTAGTAATACCTTGGTGGTGTATACGCATTTTATTCTTGTTTTTAAGTGTACCAAATAGATTATTTTTTTGTTACTTCACAAGAGGATTTTAGTTTTCAATAATTCAGCCAAAGATAAGTTTGGTTTTCACCTAATCAAACAAATTCTGCAAAGGGCAAATAGCCATTAAGCGAGCTTATAGTGTAGGTGACGTTTTCAGTCCTACAAGAACCAGAAAACTCCTTTGATATCGGTCATTTACTCACAAACCTCCAAAATGAAGATCAGTCAAATGTCCACTGGTAACTTACCTAGTAAGGCCTCTGACTTCATCGTTAGGTTGTGCAGACCCTAATATGCAACTTCTGCAAAATTACAGACATATTTGACTCATAAATGTCAACGAACACAAGACCCTAATCAAGCAAAACCACTTGGTTACCTGATTTCAGAAGGTAAGAGTTTGAATCGCTTCGTTAGGTTATTTATTAAGAGTACTGACAGTAAAGTTGAATAAAGTTTCATCATATCTTTAGTTATTATTTGCATTTTAGGATGGCAATAGTTTTGAAGAACCATATGATGAGTTAAAATTTCTTCGTAGATCACCATTTTTATTAAAATTACATGTGGCAGATCCAAAAATCATATTTGTACCTAGTTTTCGTGAGACAAGAGATTGTATACTACACTGTTTTCAAGCTATCACAGATGCTGCAGAAAATTTGCCAAGGGTAAGTGAAAAACAGGCTTCAGATATATATAAGTATTCTTACTTTTTCCAATAACTTGTATGATAAACTTTTTTCGAAGGCATAAGCTGGTAATTGCTAAGTAGTAATATATTATTGACATTCAGTACGAATAAGAAGTTGATAGTAATCTTATGACGAGCACCTCAGGTGCACAATATGAATTTTAAATTAGAACAGTGGTGTAAAACTCTTATTGTTTCGGCTTTTTAGACATGGACTGGAAAAGAGAAACAAGAGACAGATTTGTTTCGCCGGATAAGGATAATAGCTTTAATTGAGTGAAGGTAACTGCAAGGAAACTCTCAATAAAACTTATCTGCAACTTCAGTAGAACGTAGACTGCTTCGTACATTCCAACCAGCATTCACTTAGAGATATTTTCACTAACAATTTAAATGATCACTGACTAGATGTAGGATTGCATCAAGTAAGTTTAACAGGTAGAAACAATCAGAAAATCATCATCCTAAAAACAATACAAATCCCACAGCTATTTCAACAACCAGTAATAGATGGTAATGATACTGGATAGCAGTCATACTGTTCAGCGACTAATCAAAGACAATTACCTGAAACAATTGCTGTCCTATAATGCTCTCTCTATTTGATTCATTTGACATTGTTGTCAACCCCGTAGTTCGACCCTGTATCCATAGCTTCAAGTCACCTGCTAAAATAAATCAGTAGTATAAAAATTAACTTGAAAAAATAATAGGAACCCTGGAGAAGTCAGTTTAAGTAACAGATACTAAACAAGTTCAATTTATTTTATGACAAGAATAACTGCAAAACACAAGTATAAAAAAATACAAGTAGTTCATCTCTCTTCATTTATGCCCTTTCCAACCACTTAATTGACCTGAGTATATCAGGTCCTGGTTGTGATAAGAATTTGGTATAAAACTGTACTCAATGAAGATGATTTTGGTAGTTTTAGATTTGTAAGGTCAATATTGAAGTCGCACAGTAATTATCACGCTTGAAAAAATAACACTAATGAAAAAGCCGACAAGTTATCAATCCTTGAAGTACTAGCCTCAGATGCTTCCTTAAAACGGGCTTATCTAGATGCTAGGTTAATTGCACATATTGATCAGTGAGACACTCAAAGGTTGATTAATCCTCTCTTCACGTCACCTCCAACTCCATTTAACAATTCAAATGTACTCATCGAAGTACAAACATTGAACGAATAGAAAGAAGGGCCTGTAACCACATGTCTGATCATATTTGAAGGAATTTGTGACTGAGGTGTGGAATGTTTTCAACACCGCTATTGCTCGTCACTTTATTGATAGTGTACATGAAGTCGATTCTGAGTTGTTCATAATAATTAGTAAACAGATGAATTCAAATTTTCTGCTTTTCACTAAAGCGTTACTCAATTAAAAACGATTAAAACCAAACTTATGTGTTCAGAGAGAAACAGCTGGTGCCTGCCATGGCAAGGAAATGTATATGTTGTTGGGACCCTTTCTGAATATGTTCTCAACCACGAGTGGGTGCATTTTCACACAAGGAAATATCTAAAGTTTCCCTTAGATTCCCAGTCATGTACCAGTCAAGCCTCCCAAGCTTGGCCTTGTCTCAGTTCAATGTACAAAATCCACCGAAATTTTTCGCCTTCCACTATGCTATATGCAGGTATGTAAATATTCACTAATTTGATATGACTGGATAAATGTGAAATTTACCTTCTCGGACCATATTTTAGAAGAGGGAACCGAAATGTAGAATACGAGTAGTTTGGTTCGTGTATTTACTGTTTGTACAGTAAAACAAGAGTTACAGAATATTCATGAACTAGAAGAAACAACCTCTAGGTCAAAGGAAAGGAAATTGTCCTGTCAGTAGAGATTATAAAGTTTTAAGATTGAAAATACTCTAAGAATGGCAGCAGTACTATTAAACATGATAACTTCTGGACTTTAATCGACAACAGCCATCGTAAATGAATACTTCTTATAAACAAACTAAGCGTAAAAGTCACCTGTTAACAATTCAACATGAAATGAAGCATTCATATCTCATAAAACCATTCGTGTAGTGCTAATGAAAATTTGAATGCATTGACTTAATTACATATTGAGTTGACATCCAGATTCAAAAAATTTTGAAACACAGGTGTCTAAACTACAAAATGGAAAACAGAAGAAAAGCAGCATATGCTGATGCATGTGGATGACAGTTGACTTTCTCATATGGAGATACTTCTCATTTTGTAAGATAACCATTTAAATATATAACCTTTCAATGTTTGGCTAGATGGTTACTCACATTCATGTTCAATGTACAATGTATTTTGAAATGACATTCAACCTAAACTTGTTTCACAAATTCAATTTAGGTTGAAGTGGATATTTTCCCTGAACTACGTACACATTCCTTGTATCTCCGTTCAGTTGCATTTGGTGATCAATCGATAATTGAGTATACAGATAAAGCAATGGTTGTTTTTCGTGATAATTCTATTGGGCCTAAAGATTATTTAGAATTATATCGTCCATATGGGAATTTATTAAACAATAAAGCGGAATTGGAGTTAAGAAATTTTCTTAAAGAACGTCACACACTACTAGCTGTTAAAAAGGTAAATCACTACTGATAAATAATTAGTTTTGTTTTGAAGATAATTGATTTTCCACTGGTCCCATGAAATTAATTTGTCGATGCGGTCTTTTGAGTGAGTCACACCGTAAGTCAAAGTTGTAATTAGTGGGGTATGTGGAATTTAGGCTTCTTCAGGCTTAATAAAAATTGTTACTCCTCATGGGATGATTAAAACATCAAAGTCGGAAATTAACGTAACATATCGTAGACAACCACCTCTTTTGACACGCAATATTGGTTAAAAAAGCTCAGTTTAGTAAGATCAAGATGAGGCGAAATCCATTTAGTTCAAGTAGTTTTTTAAATGCATCACACAATAAAACAATATTACTAACTGGATCACATTTCAAACATAATTTGTCGTCCGTTGTTATATGAAGGTGACTCCGCAACTTGGCCTTTATAATTCTAGTCCCCTTTTGCCCCTGATCATATAGGTAGCAGAATTTTCCATTTATCTGGAACACGTGTCGTGTCATTTCCATTGCATGTATTCTTTTCTGATTCAATAAACAAAAACAGTTTCATCAGTCTATCCCTTTACCCAGTTAAGTTAGTTTAGATGACTGTTACCCTATCCCATCTTGTTTTCTGGTTGTATGTAGTTTCATGCATAGCTAAACAGAAGGTTTTTTCTAGGTTGTTTATCTTACTAGTGTCTACCTATCAGGATTTAGATAAGTTTTTGTGTTCAAACAGCCTAATTGACCCTGGTCAACTTCTCTGACCTATGTATTTGACTTCAAAATAAGTACAAAGGATTTAGTTGGCTAACTTATTCTGATTTGGGGGTTTGTGGAAATTTATTGATTTCAAGTCGGTATTCATCATGGAGTGACTGCAGTTGGAGGAACATTGTAAACCTGGGAGCACTGGACAGCTGTTTCGTCCTAGTATGGGACTCCCAGCAGTGCTCACTCATGACCCCGCCAGGGATCGAACCCATGACCTTCAGGCTTCATGGCCAGCACGTTATCGTTAAGATACTGAGTCGGATTGCCCCACATTTCCAACTTCTACCAGTTTACGACATAGCGTGACCATCACCTAGTGTCATTGTTGGGTATTTATTCTCATGGCCACTAGTCACGACTTCTCATTGGAACTTCAGGAATCACCTCTTGAAGCTAGTCACCAACGAGTACTAGATCAATTGAATTTAGGAGTTTTGGGGATTTTTTGATTTCTGCGCGATTGGATCAATAAGATATTTTAACCTACGAAGCTTGCTTCTCAGTGAATTTGTAATCTAATCTTAGACTTGCGAATCCTACGTAATTTTTCTGAGGTCCCTTCCTTGTAGGGCAACTTCGTAGATGTTTTAAATTCTGTCTTCACAGTGATGCCATTATTATTATTATTGTCACAATTATTATTATTACCGTCGTTATTACCACTATTATTATGATTGTTGACACCTGCCGTACCACTATTATTCATATTTTTCTAACAACTTATATTCAGTTTATTGATAATTATGTGGATAACTATTGGGACATAAGGACCCATAATGCTTTCTGCTTTTGATTCTATGTCCTGCTTTTAGCTTTGGTTGGCTTTAAAGGACACACTAGCAACAGCCAATCGGGTTTCGGCATTTCGACTAGGAAGTTTGGTTTTCATAAAACACAGAGCCATAGTTGGTTGTCTTAACGGTTGCTAGGGTGACCTTTAAAGTCACTATAAGCTTTTTGCCTAACTTTTAAAGCGTTTAGTTAACCCCACTTTAGAATGGTTTTAAAGGCTACCCTAATGACTGCTGAAGTGGCCAACCAGGCTTCAGGATTTCGCTTGGCAAAGTACTTTTCCACAAAATAGAGGGATGTAATTGGCTGTCTTATCAGTTGCTGGGGTGGCCTTTAAAGTTACCCCCACTTTAACTGAAATGGGGTGAGGTGATCAAAGGTCTGACTGACGATTCGAATGGGAAGATGTACCGTAGACACTAGTTCCCAAACTTCCATCTTGTTTTCGTTTAATTTGCTGTCCGATATTGCTGGCTCATCATCAATGCCTAAAGCATAGATAAGCTGAATTGCTTTCACTATTGAATTTGTGTGTATAGAACTTATTAATTTGCTCTGATTTCAGTGCTGTAAATGTGTTGTCTGAATTTCTAAACCTTATCTTTTGAGCAGAACTAGATGTTTCAAAGCCTATTCGCTCCCAGTTTTCCATGAATTGGCTGTGACGAAAGGAGAAATTGACCTCACAACACCTATTTCTGTTTGTTTGTATCTTATTTTTATATGTCAGGTGTAGCTTTACTCCCAGTGTAATCTCCTCAACCGGCTTCTTAGTTTAAAGAGTAACCTCTTGGTCACCACTGGGCTCATTTCGAACTTCCTTTACATCCATGACAATTGGTACACAGAATTATTGCAACGAGGATGACTCAGCACCTGTTCTAGATAAATGGAAATTCTGCTACCTATATGATCAGGAGCGAAATAGGACTTAAACTGCATAAGACACTTCTCAAAGTTGCTGACTACAGACGATAAATTATGTTTGAAATGTAATGCACTAAATAATACTGTTTCACTGTGTGGTGCATGTATCAGGTCAACTGAATCGGAATTTCATTCTATCACAGTGCCCAAGTTTGCTCCAATTTGTGTGCATGCGTTAACTACCCTTCACCTACAGTGTGTAGTGATAAACTCTCACAGTTAGTGTTTGGAAAGAGCAGTAAGAAGTGTTGGCATGAATGAAGAATGCATTTCCAAATGTTCTCACTGGTCACCTACATTCATTTTAAAATAAACATTTGAGCTGATATTCGTTGGCACTGTCGACCAGTGTCAGTTTACTTCTGAAAATATTGCTTTTTATAGAACGTTTTGAAAATACAGGGCAACACCCACATACACCAGTTTTTACTTGGTTCATATTTAAAATCTGATAATTGTCTTTTAAAGCTCATGAGCATTCAGACAGGGTTGGATAACGTATAACATCCAAATATCACTGATGTACTAATTTCTTTATGATGGCCTCCTACTTAAGAATAGTCACTTCACTTATTCTCCTTGAACCAGCCTGGTAAGTGAAGACATGCAACTGTTTTACGCAAAACACCGAATATATATATATATATATATATATATATATATATATATATATATATATATATATATATATATAACCGTGTTATTTGATATATAGACCGCTATGATAATGTAATGTTGACAAAAATACCTGCTTTATTTCCTAAGAAAAATCCGTACACAAAAACAATCCTACAGCGCAAAGGCAGAGTATGGAAAAATGATACTGCATTAATAGACCAACTTGTCATCAGCTTGGAAAATGTTCAACAGGTTTCGTTTGCAAATAAATTGTTCGATTTAGCTGTTTACTGTTTCGTTCTTCGATTTTTTCTCATAATTTTTTGTTGTTGTTTGCATAGTTATTGATTATTTTACTTAGTGCTGTAAAACGAAATCAGTTTTATCTTAATATCATAATTTGGTTTCAGACTCTGGTTTTTTGATTCACGGTTGCACTTTAAGGATGATGGGTTAGAAATGAGTCATTTCGATTCTGTATGCGCTGATGACGATTGAGAAAATTCAAAATTAACGCAAGTTTCCTGAGGCAACTCAGTCATCACTCCTCTGAATGTAAAAACCAGTCTATCTGAGAGAGTTTAATTGAAATTTTAGACTGTTCAATTAGTCGAACCATATTTCGCTCGGGATCATAAATCTTTGCATATGTAACTCGATTCTACAGACAGAAAGTAATGATCAATGTCTATTCAACTATCTATCCACTTGATTAGGCGGTCCAACCAAAACTTTAGTTCACAACTTTGACAATGTTTACTGCCTGTGATTGATCGGTGACTATACTTAGGTCCAGTTGAATGAATATCAAGCGAACCAGCTGTTAGTCCATTGACTCTTTGGATTTTATATAAACACAGTCAACGTGAGACCTAAGATTGCTTATGAAATCATACAATTGCTCATGTAAAACGATGTGACCAAAGTTAGATAATTCAAGTATTGGACTTACGGTAGTATAGAATTCAGCAAGCAGTCATTAGGTTCTTACAAAAGATTTTTAGTCTCTGTTTCCATCCCCCGAACATAAATTAAAAGTTTAGCTTGAATACTTATTCCTCTCCCTATTTTCAGGGATATCCGTCAGAAATCGAAAATACTCGTGAATATAGCTTTCTAATATAAGAAAATGTAATGCTAAACACCGAAACTTCAAGCTTCTATGGCCTAATACTATGTTTTTTTTTACCTGTTCTAGTTCATTTTTACATTCTTAGACCAGAACCTTGTTATTTATTAACATTATTGCATTACAAAAATGCCTAAATTTTAAGTCATAATGTAACTCTCTATCTTAAGCAAACTTAGAATCGATTTATTTCAAAGTAGTATCTTTGATGGACACACAAAAGTTGGAGAACCACTGAGAGCTTCGGGGCATTGGATAGTTTTTCTGTCTTAGAATCGAACTGCTCAGCCATGCGAATTCACAACCTCATCAGAGATAGAGCCCAGGACCATTAGGTTTCATGTCGAACAGGCTATCATACAGTCACTGGATTGGAATTCAATGGTCCGCATTTCCCTACCTCTTTCAATTCGCAATACATGTACCAGTGGAATTTGATGATAGTTGCATTTTATTACGAGCTGACAAAAAGAGGAAAATATTGACTAATGCATTCTTATTCATTGGCTGAATGGTAACCTGCTCATCGTGAGACCTTATGGTTCTGGGCTGAATTCCTGATGGTGTCATGGATGCTCATGGTTGAAATGTCCCATGCTAGGACAAAACAAATGTCCATTACTCCCAGGCTTTCAACTATTGCTAGACAGTCATATTTATTATCTTGGAGACTTAGAAATGTTTATTTTCAGGAGGGATTGATTTATGAAGGATTTTAAGCTGACAGTATCATACTGTGAGCTGAATGATGCTGTAAAATTACAGGGGTAGATAAATTATAGCCTGCTCTAGTGCGAAACACATTTTAGATCTTATTTGTGGTTGAAATTTTCCCCTTTGATATAATTATTCAAGAATCAAAACAACTTTGCATCAAGTACTTGTGGTTCTCAGGCTTTCTTCATACATCGTCACATGCTCAAAATGGATACCTTCCAACCATAATACGAATTTTTGTTGATTTTACTTTTTAGTCAGTTTATCGTTAGGTGTTTCTGATGAAGTTAAGAAGATTTCAACTGGTATCCTTGTTTGTTTTTTACTTTTACACATGCATATCTTCAATTACACAAATATTTCCCAAAAACATATCAATAGAAAATTGAAAACTTGCAGGATCTGAAAGCTGAAATATCGCTGTTACGACAATCTGTACCAATGAGTTTATTTACTTTGGACTGTAAAGATGTTAACGAGGAATTGGCTAATCGCGTTTGGAAATTACGTGATATTATAGTGACATTTGAAAGGATGAAAATCGTGATGTAAACAGAGGGTACGACTAGTGAAAAGTTACTTTTATTACTATGATTATTAATT